AAAGAAAAAAAAAAAAAAAAAAAGATGTGGTATACCACTGGGGAAGTGAGAAGGAAATAATGTCCTATGTGCTGTTTGTGGGCTACTTTAGTTTCGGTGGTAATATGTAGAGGCAGAAAAGGTACCTTATGTGGTTCTCCTTCTTTGCTTGATAAAAGTTGTTATGTTGCTGTGGAGGGACCATGAAGGAAGGACAGAATAACAATATGCCAGAACCTCTGAGAAATCCTTGGGTTAGAGGTAGAGAAGGTTATGTTTGCATTGGCTGTTGAATGTGATGATTTTATCTTTGCAGGGAAAGTTAACTGTTTGAGAATAAAAGGATTGTTAGAGTTGAAAAAATCAATACACCTGCCTGAGGGGGATGGAAGATCTTTTTTAGCAATCTAATTACATTTTAGAGATGAAACCAACAAACTTTAGATAGACTGGAAATGGACTTTGAAAAGTAGGAATAAAGGAGGGCTGGGGATTTAGCTCAGTGGCATCACTCCTGCCTCGCAAACAAGTTCTATCCCTGGTACCAAAAAAAAAAAGTGGGAATAAAGGATGACTCAAAAGGTTTTTATTTGACCAGCTGAAAGGATAGAGTAGTAATTAATTAAAACAGAGAAAAAGGATTGAGTTTGTGTTTCAGGGGAGAAATCAGGAGCTCGGTTTTAGGTATGTATGACTGGATATGAATATTTGATATGGAAGTGGACACTGCCAATAGGCAGTCCTTTATTATGAGTCTGAAATTCAAGTATAAGGCTTAGCCTGGAATCAATGTAAAAATGATATTTAAAATGAAGCTGAATGAGAACACCAAACCGTCAGTGTGGATGGAGAAAAAAGAGACCCTGGCACTGAACCCTTGGATACTATAGCATTTCAGGGTCAGTGGCATGAGAAAACACTTGCAAAGGACACCACGAAAGAGCAGCCAGATAAGAGGAGAAAATCCCTGTATATGTAGTGCCCTGTAAAGTAAGTGAAGAAAGCATAACTAGGAAGAGATAATGATTAACCGTTAAATGCTACTGAGCAATCAGGTAACGCGAAAAGTGACCATCAGATTTGATGACATGATGGCCATTGGAGATTGCAAAAAGTGTGGTTTTTGTGGTTTGCAAAAAAGTAGAGCACATGTGTAACACATCTAGAGTAGGATCAAGAAGATAAGGATAAAATAGGATAAAAAATTATAGGACATATCAGAATAGGTTTTTTTTTTTTTTGAGACATTTGGTGTATGGAAAAGGAGAGTGGAGAAATAGTAGTAGGAGGGGACTGTGAGATCTGAACAGGGATTTTTTTTTTAATGGAATGAATAATGTTGGTATATTGACAAACTGATTTATAGAGAACATATTGGTAATCCAGATGGGAGAAGTATTGGATAAGATCTAGTGAACAAGTGTAGAAGGCTACTCACAGAGGAATATAGGAAACTTGTCTTTAATAACAGAGAAGGTGGATTGTTTGGACATAGAAGCAGTTAGGTGGATAGATTTTATTAAATCATAATTTAGACTAAGTGGTCTGAGAAATAAAACCTTTTTTAAGCTGTTTGATTTTAACCAAAGGTAAAAGGACCAAATTTCCTAAGTATCAGTGGCATGGCCAGATAGTAGTTGAAAAAATATTCACTGGACCTCAGGGACCAAGGTTATTTATAAAGAAATTTGGAGAGAAAAGCATAACTTACATTGACTGTGGATAAGGGGGTAAGACAACATGAAGGGGCAAAGATATGGGATGGGAGAACCATGCATAAAGATCTACTTCTTCGTTGATTCCAAAAGCAGAATGCTATATGACCTTGATAGATAATCTTCAGGATACCGGAAAGGAATGTGGTGTGGGTTTTTCTTTTGCTTTGTTGATTTACTTTGATGTTATGAATTAAAATGAACTTCTCCTTCCTCTGTCCATTCTCTGACTTGTGACTTAATTTAGGACATATCAGAATTCTCTTTATCACTGTGGTGGTAGGGGCTAATGGAAAATCTCTTCTGTTTACCACATCATGAACTAAGAATGAGGATAAAAGAGAAGAGATTTTTAAAGGAGTTGAACTTATGAAAATGTGGTCTTGAAGAATTAGAGTGAGTATATAAAATAGGAAAATATGCTGTGATTGTTGGCATCATAAAGGTCCACTTGAAATTAGTGATCTCAAGCAAGACCAGTGACCTCTTGAAGCTTGAGGCTTAGAATATGCCAGTTTTGGTTTTCTGAGGGAATAGTGATAGAAATTTTAGGAAAGCGAGGTAGCAATGTGTTTCTTCTTTTATTCAGACAACCACATCAGAATGTTAATGGAAAATAGTAAAGTTGAAAGAAGGCTTAGTAAATTTAGATCTTCTGAAAAATGGGACTTTTTAGGTTTTTTTAGTGGATTAAAGAGTAATGCAGCCTTCTTTCTACTATTTTTGATTAAGTGGACATCTAGATATAAAAAGATACAGGGTCTTCTCTAGAACTTAATTTCTGCTAGATAATTTTTGAAGAATTAGCAGTTTACTAAGGGAATGAGATGAGAGCCACATGGATTTCTGAGGTTTCTAAATTATATTATGATAGGGTAGAGTACAGTTGTATTTTTATTTAATCATGTTAATAAGTACTTAAACCTCCTGCTTTTACTTTTAGGACAAGAAAACCAACTGGTGGCATTGATTCCATATAGTGATCAGAGATTAAGGCCAAGAAGAACGTAAGTGATTATAAGAAAATAATAAAGTTTTCTGGTTTGGTTTTTATATATTTTTCATTGCAAATTATATAGCAATAATTACTCTAGTTAAGACCACTAAAAAGAAGATTGCAGTTCAAGGCCAGACTTAACTACATAGAGAGAGAGACCCTGCCTCAACACACACACACACACACACACACACACACACACACACACGCTCGCATGCACGCACAAAGGGGAATTTGCTATCAGGTTAAGATACACCATTATATGCTTTGTGTCGTAATGAAAAGGATTTCCATTTGGGGTAAGGTCTTGAAAGCAGTATGATATCTTTGTTTTCTCAAATCTTATTAAAATAGATCTAGAATAGCAGTAGGGAACACACATGTGCTGTTTTCATCAGAAATGAGTGATGATGTATTCCAATTCATGCCAACCCATTAGTGGTTATGCAAGCCATGATGGCAGCAGGGACTTAAATGTGTATGTATGTTATTGGAGCCCCTGAAGAAGAAAATCAAAAGAATATAAAAAAAAAACAAATAGTAAACATTTAATTTAAGAACACAACCATGAAATAAAAGATGATGTGATGTTACATATTAAAAATACTGCCATCCTGATAAAAACAAAAAACGAACACAGGAAACCCTATTCTCATGAGAGTCCTGAATTTTGAAGCCTTAAACCTTTGAACATACAAGCAAATAGGTAATTAATTAAATTTATAAGGGGTAGAATAACAGATTGACGTGCTACTTCTTGACCACAGTGCTTCAAACTAGTAAACTGTAGAACAGCATATCTAGTAATCATTGAGATAAAATGAACTGAGAGTTATATAGACATTCTGACCCTTTAATGTAAAATGTTTATGATAACAAAATGAACTCAGGTTTGTATAAAAGTTCTGAATCTCTATTATAAAATTTATAGAAATATACCAAGATGAAAAACCTTAGGGTTGAAACTTTCATAACATCAGAGTGAGAAGATGTTTTCAAATATGATTTAGAAACTAGCAGTGATGAAATAAAAGTGAAATGAGTTTAACATAGCATAAATAAACTTTTACAGGTCGAAAACAAAACCTTAATTTAAGGAGAGTTACAAATGGCAGACTAGATGTAGTGTCTGCAAATCATATCGTGTCCAGCAGGCCAATACACTTATTTTACAGAGCTTAAAATTTTAAGAAAATTGAAACTAGCCAAAGAAAAAAAAAGAATGAAAGCTATGAACACCTAGTACATGCTCACACAATGCCATTGATCTTAAACGTGTTGAAAGATGTTTAATTTTGCACATTAAAGAAATACAAAAGAAAACTGCTGAGATACCATTCCTATCTATCAGACTGGCAGAAAACCAAAATTTTGTTAGCGTATTTAATTGGCACTAAAATTAAATACACTCATGCCTTGCTAGTGAATGAGAATTTGGCATCATCTAGCAAAATTATGAATTTACTCTTGGCTCTGAACTCTACTTTGAAAATTTTATTCTAAGGATAGTTGTCAAATAGAATAACTAGCATTTGCACATATTACTCATGTGCCAATATTTATAATAGCAAAAATCTAGACATAATGTAAATAACAAATAATAGAGAACTAGTAAATTAATGCTTTGTATACCTGATGGTAAAATGAAATGAGACCTGTATTTTACTACAGGGTGATATTCAGAGCATGTTTTTATTTGAAAACACATTCTGTATGCACACATTTATACATACCCACAAAAAATGAAACCAAAAGCCAATAACTAATAAATTTAGTCATTTTTCAGAGTTTGAGAGGGAATAGTTAAGCAAGTAAGACTGGACTTTACAACCATTATCTTTTTACATAACATAAAAGATGAAATCAGATGTTTAAAAAAGTAGCTCCTAAAATTGAAACAAAAGAAAACAAATGATTCTAGCTATATTAAGTTGATGAATAAATACAGCTGAAAGTATTACTGTAAGTGACTGAATATCATTGTAGTTTAATTGTCAAAATTTAGTGAGATGATCTAAATGCCAAGCAGAACCACAACAGATTTTAAGTTGTACTTGGTAGTTGCATTGTTAGTATTCTTGGAGTAATTTTCAAATTTTTATACATAAGCAAATAAGTAGGTAAATACCATTAAGGAACAAAATTGTCAGCATAGAAGCAAAGAGATACAAGATCAGATATATTGGATTTTCCACTTCAGATAATGATGGAGGTAATAGACACTGGGTTTACTCTCCAACCCAAAATAATTAAGAAACTTGACAAACATTTTCAGACAGTGAATCTCAGGCAGTACACGAAGACATCCCTGGAAACAAAATTAGTTAAGCTATATTGTTGTTCTGCTTACTATTTGGAAACAGGTTGCAGATTGCACCAAAAGGAAAGGAACCTAAACAGAGCTTAGCTGCCTCCCTGAAGTAAGGCAGTGGACCTGACTGTCCAGGAGGCCAATAGGCCTAGAATTAGCAGAGAGCATAGTAGAAGGTAGAGAGCTACAGGGGTCTGTTATTCTGTACCTGAGTCCTGAGCAGCATAGCTTATGACAAAGTATCTGAGATTGGGGAAAGACTACCCTGAGGGAGCAGAGTGTACAGTCTGGAAAGCTCACGCAGGCCAGAAAGAGTTGTTTCTCAGTCTGTAGTAAAAATTACATTATTTTGGGAAGAACTCAGAGTCTTTCATCTCTTACAAGTTGAGAGAGTTACGGTGAGGTATTTACAAAAATATATTTATTAATTGCTTTTTATACTTTAGCTATGTCATGTAATACTACAGCCTATACAATTTAAAGGGTTAAATTACCTTAAAGAGTGCAGGTAGAAAATGACAGAAGTAGAATTCTAACTTGACACCACATATATCACACAAGCTTTGTAACTTTATCAGTACTATTTATCTCCCATATTCAGTTGCTGCCCTTAGGAGCATAAGAAAAACTGTTACTATTGAATGTTACAAAAAAAGATGCATGTGGGCTTGGAATTTAGCTCAGTGGTGCTGCTCCTGCAATTGCGAACGTAAAGTCCTGAGTTTGATCCCCATTATTGAAAAAAATAGAAAGATGCACATACTTTGTTGTGAACTTGCCAATTTTTCAATTTGAAATGAAATTCTACATGGAATGTTATTTTATTGTCCTAACAGGTTCAGTAATATTTGCTATACCTGTAAATAATGTGTACTGTAATTTGGATTCATGTATTTACATCTAGGACTGGATTACAGCCCCTAAGCTCTGACTTAAAAATGATAGATGCACCCACCCAGAAGTAATTGAAAAACAAAAGCTGTATAGTGTAGAAAAACCTGACAAACTTCAGTTTTTTATTACATTTTTGAAAGTATTTTTGTACTCTTTTAATGTATTTGGGTGTATGGTAGGTATTATGAACATGTGTTTAAATGGCTTATTACTAACCCAGTAATCTTTATCTGAGCAGGTTGAGAAAGTACAGAGTAAATGTGAATTGGTTTGCTCAATACAGTAGCATTGGCGTAATAGCAATTTAGCAAAGTTTTACTTTTTTTTTTATAAACCACTTGCTCTTTTTCTTTACTTGGCTTAATAAAATATTCAGATAAAATTATGAAACATTCTTAGGCAATTTAATCACTGTTGTGAGGCATGCAATGATTAACTTCATAAAGGCATAGAAAATTGGTTGGGAGGAGAATATGGAAGAAAGAATAAAAAAATTGTTTAGTGTAATTATACTATTGGGAAGATGAAGTGATATATGACTTAGAATAAAAAGGCCTTTCAACAAAGGGCTATGTATTAGATTAGGAAATTTGAAACCAGCTTTGAGAATATCTTTAAGAAAAAAGGAAATTTTTCTTTATATAGATTAAAAAAATGGTATAAAGAAAGGGAATATATATTGCCAGGGGATTAGAAGGATGGCCGAGTCATGTTGAGTTCTTCTCTTTTTTTCCTATAACAGCAAATAATTTCTCTTTGATTGATTAAAAAATTGTAACAACAACCTCAAACCCAAGTTGATCAATGTAAACAGTGTTTTTTATAGTAAATACATAAGTATTTGGGGCTGACAAAACTCAAAAAAGGACTAGTCCTAGCTTTAGACTGATGAATCATTTAATTATATCATTATTTTTAAGAGCTTCCCAGATGATTCTGATGAGCGATCACTTTAGGAGACCATGTCATGGTGAAATTCACATGTAAAAACTCTGCTTCAGTAAATTCACAAGGAAACTTTGAAATCTGTATCTGTATATAGCTTCTAGTCTTGAATCTACTGTGAAATGTAGTTTGCGAATTACCTCATTAAACAGTCATAAGCCTGGGATCTCAATCTCCACATAAGTGAACTCGTGTTCCAAGGAGAACATCTTAATGCTTAGTAGAATCAGACAAAACGTTACCTAGTACTTCCAGAATGTGAAATAATTTATGTCTTCTTGCTGGTATGATATATTAGGAAAATATTATATAATGTATTTTTTTGTACCAGCAATCTACTAAAGACCTTGGGCTTGGCACCACTGAGCTAAATCCCTGGCCCCCATTATGTAATTTTTTTATTGGTACATTTTAGGTATATGATACAGTTATATTCATCATTGGGATCTTGTACATTTACCTGATGTATCTTATCTCATTTTTGCCCATTCCTCTGGCCTCCCTCCATCCCTGCACCCTTCCCTATTTACAAAAACTTTGTTTCCATTTTTTTTCTTCTTTTCATATTTTTTCTTTTCCTTTGTTACTTTTCCCCCACCCCTTCCACTTCCCCTACACCTTTAGACCTTTTCTTCCTATTATACAATATCAATTACACATTTTGACCCTTACATTTTAGTTTATCACACCAGAGAAACTATACAGCATTTACACATGTCCTATTAATTTCACTTAATAATGTATCCTCAATGTGCATTCACTTAGCTATAAAAGTCTCTAGTTTCTGGTTCTTTATGGCTGAATAGTGAGTACTTAATTTTATGTAAAAAACACATCTTCTTTATCCAGTCTCCAGTTAATGGACATTTGTGTCACTATAAACATGGGTGAGCAGATATCACTGTGGTATGATTCTGTTAATTCTTTTGGGAAGATACCCAACAGGGGAATAGCTGGGGAAAATAAGACCTCTAATCCTAGTTGTTTAAAGTATCTCCATATTGATTTCTAGTGGTTGCACCAGTCTGCAATCCCACCAACGTTGAAAAAGGGTATCTTTCTCCCCACAACCCCTACAGGATTTATTATTGTTTGATTTCTTTTTTTCTAATATATTTTTTTTCATACTGGGGATCAAACTCGGGACCTTAAGCTTGCAAGGCAGGCACCGAAATCACTGAGCTAAATCTCTGGCCCCTATTGTTTGATTTCTTGATAGCAGCCATTCTTTCTGAGGTGAGGTAGAATCTCAGTGTTTTCATCTGCATCTCTTGAATGACCAATGATGTTGAACAATTTTTTCATATGTTTATTTTTTCATATGTTTAATGTTTCTTTGTCTGAGAAATGTCTGTTAGTTTAAGTTGCCCATTTTTGAACTGGGTCTTTATATTTTTGTGTCTGTTTTTTTTTTTTTTAATTCTTTATATATTTTTGGATTCTTTTTTCTAGTTCTGTGAAATATAGTGCTGGAATTTCAATTGGCACTGCATTGAATCTGTATAGCAGTTTTGGAGTATGGCCTTTTCAGTATATTGGTTTTTCCTACCAAGGAACAAGGGATGTCTTTCCATTTTCTTATATCCTCTTCTATCTCTTTTTTCATAGTTGTAGTTCTCAATTTAGAAGTCTTTTGCTTCCTTCATTAGATTGATCCCAAGATATTTCAATTTTTTGATGTTATTGTGAAAGCAGTTATTTCCCTAATTTCTCTGTTAGTGAATTTATTTGTGTACAAGAAGACTATTGAATTTTGAGTGTTTACCTTGTATCCAGCTACTGTACCAAACTGTCAATTAAGTTTTTTGGTGGTTTTTTGGTTCTTCTATGTAGAATATCATATCATAAATAAATAATGACAGTTTAACTTCTTTCCTATCTTTATTGCTTTTATTTTTTCTCATGTCTAATTGCTGTGGCTAATGTTTCCAAAACTATATTGAACAGGAGGGTTCCTGATTTTAGTGTGATGGTTTTTCAATTTTTGACCATTTACTATGATGTTGGCTGTTGGTTTTTCATACATAGTCTTTATGAAGTTGAGATAAAGACCATCTATTCCAGTTTTCTGCAGGTTTTTTTTTATCATAAATAGTTGTTGAATTTCGTCAAATGCTTTTTCTGCATCTATTGAGATGATCATATGATTTTTGTCTTTGATTCTTTTAATATAGTGTATTATATCTATTGATTTATGTATGTTGAACCATCCTTTCATCTCTGGGATAAATCTGACTTGGTCAGAGTGTATGATCTTCTTGATGACCCTCTGTATTCTGTTTACCAGTATCTTATTGAGGATTTTTGCATCTGTGTTCATTAGGGAGATTTTCCTGTAGTTCTCTTTTGTGGTTGGTCTCTCCCTGGTTTTAGAATCAAAGTAACACTTGCTTCTAGGAATGAATTTGTTTCAATTTCCCTTTCAATTAATTTGAAAAGTTTAAAAAGTAGTGGTAATACTGTACCAGAAGGAATTTGCAAGTAACACACAGAGTAGCAGCAGAGTGGAAATAAAATAACAAATTTACTCATCCACGAGAGTCAGTCTAAATGTTTTGTAGAATTCAGCAGTGAGTCCATCAGGACCTGAGGTTTTCTTTGTTGGTAAATTTCTAATGCTTTCAGTTTCACTGATTGTAATTAGTGTATTTAGAATGTTCATGTCTTCATTCAATTTTGGTAATTCATATATATGTAGAAATCTGTCCATTCTATGTTTTCATTTTTATTAGAGTACAGGTTCTTACAGTAGAAATTGATAATTCTCTGGATTTCCCATGGATCTGTTGTGACGTCACCTTTTTTGTTCCTAATGCATGGATTTGAGCCTTTTCTTTCCTTTTTTTCATAATGTTGGCTAAGGGTTTATCGCTTTTATTTGTTCTTCAGAAAAACCAACTCTTTGATTTCTTGATTTTTTGGGGGGGATCATTCTCAGTCTCCATTGCATTAATTTATGCTCTGATGTTTATAATTTCTTCCCTTGTATGAGATTTGTGTTTGTCTTGCTCTTCTTTTTCTAGGAGCTTAAGATTCAGCATTAGGTTATTTATTTGAGCTCACTTTGTTTTCCTAGTGTGGGCATTCAGTGCTATAAATTTCCCTCATAAAACTGCTTTCATTGTGTCCCATAGATTCCTGTATATTGTTTGGCATTATCATTTATTTGTAAAATCTGTCTAATTTCTTCTTTAATTTCCTCTGTGACCCATTGTTTGTTCAGGAGAGTATTCAATTCCAATGTATTTGTGATATTCTTAAGGTTTCTTAAGCTGTTGGTCTCCAGTTTAATTGCTCTATGGTCTGATAATATACAGGGGATAATTTCAGTTCTTTTGCATTTACTTAAACATGTTCTGCAAGCTAGTATGTGGTCTATTTTGGAGATGACCCATGTGCAGCCACAAAGAATGTATATTCTGATTTTGTGGGATGGAACACTCTATAGATGTCTATTGAGTCCATTTGTTCAAAAACTTGGTTTAGTTCTAGTATTTCGTTGTTGATTTTTAGTCTAGATGATCTGTCTATTTGTAACAGTGGGGTATTTAGGTCCTCCACTATAATTGTAGTAGTGCTTATTTGGTTTTTCATGTCCCTCAATATTTGTTTTGTATAGTTGGGGGTATTAGTATTTAGTGCATTTATTTATAATTATTATATTTTCCTGTTGGATTGTTCCCTTTACAAGGATGTAGTGACCTTCTTTGTCTCACTTAATTAGTTTTGATTTTAAATTTATTTTGTCTGCAAATAAGATAGCTACTCCTGCTTTTTTTCTGGGTTCATGTCACATGAAGAACTGTTTTCCGTCCTGTTACTTTGTCTATAAGTTTCTTTTTTAACTAGGTGCATTTCTTGTATACATATTGTTGGATTTTACTTCTTAATCCATTCTGCCAGTCTTATTTCTTATTTGATTGGTGAATTGAGGCCATTAGCATTGATGATTATAACTGATATGTACTGACTTATCATCATCATGTTATTTTCCTTTTGTTGGCTCTTTTTAGTTCCCCCCCTTTTCATTTCTTGCCTTCCCTGATGGATTCATTTTGTTGGGCTTCATGGAGTTGTGATCTTCAATGTCTTTTTCTAAGATATTCTTTAGAATTGTTTGGAGTGCTAGTTTGGTATTCTTGAAAGTCCTCAAGTATTATTTGTTACGGAAATATCTTATTTCCCCATCAATTTTGAAAGATAGTTTTTCGTTATATATCCTACTAGGTTAAAGATTGTTTTCTTTTAGGGCTTGAAATACCTCCCTCCATGCTTCCTTGACTTGAAAGTTTGTGTTGAAAAGTCTACTGTGATTCTGATGGCCTTTCCTTTGCATGTGATTTGTTTCTTTTCTCTTAACTGCTTGTAGTATTTTCTTCTTTGGGGTTTCTGAGATCTTGATTATTATATGTGTATGTGTATGTTTTTTTATCATGGCTAATTAGAATCCTATATATCTACTTATCTGTATGTCAACTTCTTTCACTCTAGGAAGTTTTGTGTCATTAATTCTGTGAACAGTTTTTTTTTATGAAATTTGTACTTTCTCTGCTTTTTTCATGGACTCCTATCAGTCTTGTATTATTCTTTGTATCATATAGGAGATAGATTGATTTATCATGTTCTCTTACCATTTTTAAGAGGTCCCCTTTTCATGGTCATTAACCATCATCCTGTCTTCTACATCTGATATCCTGTCCTCAGATTGGCTCAGCCTGTTATGTAGACTTTCAGTAGAGTTTTTAATCTCCTGGATATCTCTTTGAATCTGTTTCTAGGATTACATTTCTTTCCTATGCTGGACATTCATGGCTTCTATCATGCTCCTGAACTCATGTTTTGTTGTTGTTGTTTTTATCTGTTTCTGTTCTAGTGTCTCTAATCATGTATTTCAGAAAGCTCACCATCTCTGTAGGTATCTGGGAAATTATTTGTTTTGAATTTTTCTAGACCCTCATTCATCCATTTTGTTACTTCCTATGCTATCAGTTCATGGTGTCCAGGTGGTTGATTATCAGACTTTTCCACCTCATTTGCCCCAGAATTTGCCTTTGATGAACAGGCAGCCTGTGTTTGTGCTTGTGCTTTGCTTGAATGTCTTCTCATTTCTATTTTTGTTGTTGCTTTAATTCCTGGATTAATACTTCTGTCTTCCTGTTTTAGCTTGGCTTTAGGTTTTGAGCTTCTAAAGACTCTGAGGCAATCTCTTTTTCATTATAACAGGAAGGACAAATAATTAGATCAATCACAACACCTTAGCCCAAGTGATACAATAAGCAATACAATAGCATCAAGCACAGCTTAGAAAAATGACAATTTTTGGTAGTTATTAATCTATCACCTTTAACCATGTCAATTAACTCAAAATCAAAGCTGGAAGTCAGGACAATGGCCTTTGTGACCCCCTGTGCCTCTGTGGTGTGAATCCAGGTACCAGCCCAGCCAGTAGGCTGGGGGATGGGAGTGGGGGGCGGGGCTAGCAGGCCAGTTCCTGGGGTTCCACCCTCACCAGTCTGCTGCTGAGGCCGGGAGGGAGGGGTGGGGGTAGTAGCAGCTCTCATTATGTAATTTTTTATTCACATGTACTTTAATACTTCCTTTTCCTTTTCAGAAAACTGTATGTGATGGCATCTGTGTTTTTCTGTCTGCTCCTTTCTGGATTGGCTGTATTTTTCCTTTTCCCTCGATCTATTGATGTGAAATACATTGGTGTGAAATCAGCATATGTCAGTTATGATGATCAAAAGAAAACAATATATTTAAATATCACAGTAAGTATAAATGTATATTGAAAATGTTTTATTTTTACTTCATTATCCTATTAGCAGCGCCTTTATCCCAGTTGAAAGCATGTTTTTTTTTTATTTTCAGCTTTAACTTAGTTTATTGGTACATTTTAGGGATACAGTACAGTTACATTCATTGTTGGGATCTTGTACCTCTACATGACAAGTCTTGTTTAAATATCACAGTAAGTATAAATGTATATTGAAAATGTTTTATTTTTACTTCATTATCCTATTAGCAGCGCCTTTATCCCAGTTGAAAGCATGTTTTTTTTTTATTTTCAGCTTTAACTTAGTTTATTGGTACATTTTAGGGATACAGTACAGTTACATTCATTGTTGGGATCTTGTACCTCTACATGACAAGTCTTGGTTCTCATTTTTGCCCCTTGTCCCTGCCCTCTCTTCACACCCTCCTCCCCTCCCCATCTACAACCACTTTATTTCCATCTTTTCATTATCTCACATATTTTTCCCTTTTCATCACCCTTCCCCTACTTGTCCCACCTTCCCTACACCTTTAGCTCCTTTCTTCCCATTTCTCAATGTCAGTAATCTTATTAGGATCTTCTGTATTATTGCAGATTATTCACACCAGAGAAACTATTTGGTATTTACACATGTGTGCCTTATTTATTTCACTTAGGAGTATATCTTCAATAAGTATCCATTTTCCTATGAATGAATCTATTTTCTCAGTCTTTATGGCTGAGTAATATTTCATTTCATAGAAAAACCACATCCTCTTTATCCAGTTTCCAATTGATGGGCAAATAGGCCGTTTCCCAGTTTTAGCTATTACAAACTGTGCTGCTATAAACATGGGTGCACATACTTCTCTGTGATATGATTCTTTTAGTTCTTTTGGAAAGATACCCAGCAGAGGGATGGGTGGGTCAAATGGAACCTCTAGTCCCAGCTCTTTGAGGTATCTCCATATTGATTTCCATAGTGATTGCACTAGTCTGCACTCCCACCAACAATGGAGAAGGGTTCTTTTCTCCCCACAACCCTGCCAACATTTGTTATCGTGTGGTTTCTTGAGAGCAGCCATTTTTTGTGGGGTGAGGTGGAATCTCAGTGTTTTTTTCATCTGCATCTCTCGAATGATCAGTGATGTGGAACATTTTTTCATATATTTCCTTGCTGCTTTGAATTCTTTGTCTGATAAATATCTGTTCATTTCAGATGCCCATTTTTGAATTGGGTCTTTATATTTGGGGGGGCTGATTGTTTTGAATTCTTTACATATTCTAGATAATAGTCCTTTGTCTGACAAACAGCTGGTAAAAATTTTTTCCCAAATTGTAGATTGTCTCTTAGTTCTGCTGATAGTTTCTTTTGCAGTGCAGAAGCTTTTTAATAAGATGAGATCCCAGTTGTTGATTCTTTCTGCTAGTTCCCATGCTACTGAGGATTTGTTCATAAAGACTTTTCCTATGCCATTGTCTTCCAGAATTCTGCCTAACTTACCTTCCAGCAAGTTTAGTGTTTCTGTTTTAATATTTAGATCTTTAATCCACTTGGATTTTAATTTAGTGTGTGGTGGAAGATAAGGGTGCAATTTTAATCTGTGGCAGTTTGAAATCCAGTTTTTCCAACACCATTTATTAAAAAGGCTGTCTTTCCTCCACTGAGGATGGTCAGCTCCTTTGTCAGAGATGAGGTAGCTGAGTACATCTGGGTTTGTTTTTGTGTCTTCCAGTCTGTTCCACTGAACCTCAGGCCTGTTTCTTTGCCAGTACCATGCTGTTTTTATCACAGTGGCTTTGTAGTATAGTTTCAAATTGGGAATTGTTATACCCACTGCCATGTGTCTGTTGCCTGGGATGGCTTTTGCTATTCTAGGTCTCTTACGGTTCCAAATGAATTTTTGGATTCTTCTTTCTAGTTCTGTGAAATATAGTATTGGAATTTCAATTGGCATTGCATTGAATGTATATAGCAGTTTTGGTAGTATGGCCATTTTCACTGTTGATTCTTCCTACCCAGGAGAAGAGGATATCTTTCCATTTTTTTATATCCTCTTCAATTTCTTTTTTCAGAGTGCTGTTGTTTCAGAGTAGAGATCTTTTGCTTCTTTTGTTAGATTGATTCCTAAATACTTCATTTTTTTGGATGCTATTGTAAAAGGAATTTTTTCCCTTATTTCTCTCTCCATGAGTCTGTTATTTGTGTATAAGAAGGCTATTAATTTTTGGGTGTTCACCTTGTATCCAGGTACTCTACTGAATCTGTCAATTAAGTCTAGAAGTCATTTGGTGCAGTTTTTTGGGTCTTCAATGTAGAGTGTCATATCATCAGCAAATAATGACAGTTGAACTTCTTCCTTTCCTATCTTTATTGCTTTAATTTATTTCTCTTGTCTAATTGCTGTGGCTAATGTTTCCAGACTATATCAAAGAGGAGTGGTGATAGTGGGCATCCTTGCCTTGTTCTTGATTTTAATGTGAAGTTTTTCAGTTTTTGGCCGTTTAATATGATGTTGGCAATTGGTTTTTCATAGATAGCCTTTATTAAGTTGAGATATAGACCATCTATTCCATTTTTTTTGCAGGATTCTTTTTTATAATGAATGGGTGTTGAATTTTGTCAAATGCTTTTTCTGCATCTATTGAGAGGATCATATGGTTTTTGTCCTTGACTTTGTTAATATAGTGTATTACATTTATTGACTTATGTATATTGAACCAACCGTGAATCCCTGGAATAAATCCAACTTGGTCAGGATGTATGATCTTCTTGACAATCCTCTCTATTCTATTTGCTAGTATCTTATTAAGGATTTTTGCATCTATATTCATTGAGGAGATTGGCCTGTAGTTCTCTTTTTTAGTTGCATCTTTCCCTGGTTTGGGAATCAAAGTGATACTTGCTTCCAAGAATGAATTTAGAAGTATAGCTTCCCTTTCAATTTCATTGAAAAGTTTGAAGAGTAATGGTAGTAGTTCTTCTCTAAATGTCTTGTAAAATTCAGCAGTGAATCCATCAGGGCCTGGGCTTTTCTTTGTTGGTAAATTTTTAATTACATTTTCAATTTCACTGACTGTAAATGGGGTGTTTAAAATATTTTTATATTCTTTATTCAACTTTGGTAATTCATAAGTATCCAAAAATCTGTCCATTTCTTCTGTGATTTCCATTTTATTGGAGTACGGATTCTCAAAGTAGGTATTCATGATCTTCTGGATTTCTTTTGGATCTGTGGTGACTTCACCTTTTTCATTCCTGATTGCATGGATCTGAGCCTTTTCTTTCCTTTTTTTGATAAGGTTTGCTAAAGGTTTGTCAATTTTATATATTCTTTTAAAAAACCATCTCTGTGTTTCATTTATTTTTTGTATCGCTTTTTTAGTTTCTACTGCGTTGATTTCTGCTTGGATCTTTATAATTTCTTCTCTTGTTCGAGTTTTGGGTTTTTCTTGCTCTTGTTTTTCTAGGGGTCTTAAGTTTCATCTTATGTTGTTTATTTGAGCCCGCTCTGTTTTCCTAGTGTGGGCATTCAATGTTATGAATTTTCCCCGTAGAACTGCTTTCATTGTGTCCCATAGATTCCTGTATGTTGTATTGGCATTTTCATTTATTTGTAAAAACTGTCTAATTTCTTCTTTAATTTCCTCTGTGATCCATTGATTGTTTAGGAGAGTATTGTTCAGTTTCCATGCGCTTGTGAAGTTCCTACAGTTTCTTGTGCTATTGATCTCCAACTTGATTGCACTAAGATCTGATAATATACAGGGGGAAGACTTCAATTCTTTTGCATTTATTCAGACCTGTTCTGTGAGCCAATATGTGGTCTGTCTTGGAGAATGGTCCATGTGCAGCCGAAAAGAATGTATATTCTGATTTTGTGGGGTGGAATACTCTGTAAACATCTATTAACTCCATGTGTTCCAAAGCTTGGTTCAGTTCTATTATTTCATTATTGATTTTCTGCCTAGATGATCTGTCAATTTGTGATAGTGGGGTATTTAAATCTCCTACTAAAATTGTATTAGTGCTTATTTGGTTTTTCATGTTACTTAATATTTGTTTTATATAGTTGGGGGCATTTATATTTGGTGCATTTATGTGTATGATTGTCAACTCTTCCTCTTGAATTGTTCCCTTTACAAGGATGTAGTGTCCTTCTTTGTCTCTCTTAATGAATTTTGGTTTGAAATTTACTTTGTCTGAGAATAAGATTGCTACCCCTGGAAAGCATGTTTGTTAAATATAACCATGCTTGGTTTGCTTTCTATGTCTTTGCTGTATTGATCCTCCTCTGCCGTTCTAGTTTTGCTGAAAATAGCAAATAATAAATACTGGCAATCTGGTGTGCACAGTATTATTTAACATGTGAAGATGCCTTTGGGAAGATAAAATAAACATTTTATTATTTTGAAAAGAAAAGGTCTTGTAATCAATTAACTCTACATCATTTGACTCTGAATAGCTCCTAGCAAGGTGTGTTCATATGTGATTCAATAGAATTTATAAATATTACATCTCACTTTCTTGAATTTTGTGCATTACAGATTTTGCCATGTTTAACATACTAGTCCTTCATTGTGTTTAAAGATGAAGTAAAAATGATTGTTTGATTTTTCTCTTGTAAGTTAGTAGGTATGAAAATATCCTCTGTGTTCCCCAGGACGGCATTTTTAAAAAAGATTATGTAACCTCCCAACTCCTAAAAACAACAAAGAATGGATGACTCCAAGGTCTGCTAACATACAGAACAACTGCCAGCCCCTTTCTAAGGACTGAGCATAATGAACTGAATCCTGGGAAATCAGTTTCTTAGGCTGTCTTTCTCCAACAGAGTACCCTTGGGGTTCTCTTAAAGCAAAGCATTTCACTTTTGCAAGCAAAAGAATGAGGTCTTGGTCCTTGCAGACATGCCCTGAAGGCATTTTCCTGCTGTCCTAATCTGAAGTACTGTGGCCTTTTCCTCATGGAAATCTTTCCAACAACCAGTTTATCCTGTGCTATAAGTTTATAGG